CCTCGCATATTCATTTACTTACACCTCCAAAAATATAACACCACTTGAATCTGTAAAAGTAGATACAAATTAATTTATACCAGAAATTCGCACCCATACATTTATTTCATAGGGTGATATGGTTTCATGTTAGAACAGACTGAACTTTATACAATATTTAAATAAAACAGATAATTTTGAGAGATACTTAAAATTAATTTGAAATTTTATGTTAGTGTAAAAATTAAATAGAGCTTCTAAAATACTTCCTTTTACTACTTAAATTCTTGTATGTGGCTTTTCAAAACGATTTACAATACCAAGTTTATGTAGTGTCTATTGTCTTACTAATTGCGGATGGACATTTCTGTATAAATAGCAGACACATGCTGCAACAATAAACTGAAGCATAAGAATGAATGCTGCATTACACAAAATGCAGAACTTCTGCTACAATAGTATAAATATTATGTTTTTGGACATTATCCATCATCCTGTCTTTATCTAAAAACACTGTCCTGTTTATTTTTTCTATTATTCTGCTACAATGTTACCTTCCAGACCCAAAATGCACCATATCTGGCTTACCCTATCATACTGGCAGTAATGGAAATGGTTTTGTGGCCTGAAGTTGATTTTTTCACTCAGAATTGCTGGGGTTTTTGACTTTGTCCATCATCCTGTATTCTAAAGCCTAGAGAACACAACATTTCGGAAACTGGACCTCAAGTGAGAGGGAGACACCTACTCTGTTGGGTCCCTTAGAAAGAGCTAACCTCAGACATAGTATTAGGCAGCATACAATATGAAATATTTTGTGTAGAAATTCTAAGGTTGAAAACTAATTTTCTCCATGGTCTGAGTGTGCATAATCCTAGTACCCCTATACTTAACGTACAAAATATTCTCCCATTGCTGGTTACTATGTCTTATGCAACTGCTGCCTGACACGTGTAGTCAGTGGTAGTTACTTCTTACACTATAAATAGGAGAAGACAGAAACTGCCAAAGTATGGAAATGCAATTGGAATAACACTGCCCCCCCCCCATTTTTATGACTAGATTGCAATACATTTATAACAGACACAGAAAATATAAATCTATCAGGAATACATTTGTCTCATTCTATACACTTCAAATCTGAAACACTGTGTTTGATTACCTTCATCTTATAATATTAACCACATTAAGTAACTTTAGCTTTGTCTCTTTACCATCATGTTATCACATTTCCATGTGCTCCAAGATGTTATTCAGCATTTCAACAAACAACATTTTATTTAATTTCAAAAAAGAAATGAAAGAACTGATACTGACATCCATTATCCTAGATAAATTTCGACCATTTCAAAATAAATGGAGCTGTTGGTAATTATGATCATAACAGACAGCATGGAATTCTTGTAGTTTCTGCTGTTTCAATGTGCACTGCAAAAGAACAATAAAATAAAAAACTAGAGGGCTGGGTGAAACATCAGTGAACAAAATCACATTTAAGTTTCTCTGATATAAGGATTTCACTTATTTAGGTATTTCATTTGTTTCATTCTGGTCTGTCACACTAACAATATAATGAAAAGTTAAACAGTTCCATCCAGTGTGACTGATGAAATTTTTTCTTATTTCAATTATTCATGCCCTTACATGTTTCGGTCTTCAGAGGGAAGACCAAAACATGCAAGGGCATGAATAACTGAAATAAGAAAAATCCTCACCAGTCACACTGGACGGAACTGTTTAACTTTTCATTATATATAGGTATTAATTTCTACGAACCAAGCCAAACTTAGTACTACAATTGTGGTTTTCTTCTGTTTGGTTCTGTTACCTGTAAAAATATTGTATATGCTATATTTTGCTGTATTATTTAAACTATGATTTTAAAATATTAAAAAAGAATGCTAAGGTCATGACATTCCAGGGAAAATATGCTTTCTCAACAAAGCTCGTCCTCAAAAATAAGAATTCAAAATGAGTTTTATACTTTAATTATCTGGGCTGTGACAAGTAATTTGAATATGGCACAGATATGAACATTAAAATATATTAATGCTAATCCATATGTAGAGCCGTTAAGAAGATCTTAAAAACAAAACAAGAAAATACGATTTTCAAAAAATGTTCTAAGTTCATAATCTACTTCATGGAACAGAGATTTGGGGCCTTGCAAATATAAAAGATCAAAGCCAGATACAAGATACTGACATTATATTCTTAACAAATATCTATGAATGTACTCATCTGGAAATGATGAAGAATAACCATGATCTTGTGTATTCACTATGAGAGAAAATAAACTGATGCAAAGAGAAGTGGACAGAATGCCAGAACAAGGATTATCAAAATCTGTTTTAAATTACCATCCATAACAAGCAGACACTGGTAGACCTTGTAAACACTGGACTAAAGTGACAATACTCTGGATGACAGGGCATTTCATTTTATAATGGCAGAATTTTGGTATTAACCTCACACACAATGCAGAAACATCATCATTCTAATATCATATAGCAATGAAAGAAGCTTCCAATGATAAGGTGAAAATACTGTCTAATTTTCATGGTAGATGACAGACTGAGATTTCCTTCACGATGTTGGAAACTTCTTCCACTGCTACAACACATTATAAAGCTCAAAAGACTCTAAGATGCATACAGACTGCTACATAAACATCAATCTTAAATTGCTACTGTTGGTACCAAAAGGAGTCTTGTACTGTATATTCTGAGGTGTAATTGTGTAAGTTTGTAAGACAATAAAACAACCACACTAGAACTCAGAAGAAAATAAATGAACACTGCATCCTTTTATCTACATGAATTTAATAAAAAGTGTCTTATTATACAAATGCAGTACTAAAAGAAACTTTTTGTAGACCTGACAAGGAATGTCACTGTTCATCAGTCTCTCTATCATTCGACTTTTTTTTCTGTTGCAACATGAAGTTATGGCAGATGCATTTTGCATAAAACAGCATATAACTTTTAAGATGAGAATGGATCACTGAAGATTTGTGATGATGGTATAATAGTGGTACTGCAATTACAGACATTGTCAATTGTCCAAGGTATATTTAATATACAAGGCATTTCAGGAGTTGACCCTATGTTTGTCTTCAGGGGATTGTTTGCCATTATACTGCCAGATTTTTAAATTTATGTTTGAATTAATGGCAATGATGAAAATCAGATTTGGAAACTTGTAAATAACAAGCTTGTACACATTACACAATTTAGCAGAACTTGCAGGATTACTGACAATCATCACCTGAAGATGGAAGTAGAGCTAAACTCCCATAACACTGCCTATATTACACATTCAGTATAATCGCAATTATCTGTGCTAATGATGTAAAGAAGATGAAAATACAGATAATCCAAGTCTTGGGTGAGACTGGGAGACCATGGTGATGGCTGAATATAGAAATTTGGAAATGTAGGCATGTAGTCTGGTTTGTTGTTATCTCAAAAACTGTACTAAACATAAAGTGTGTTTTATTCTTCCTACATTTCTGTTCAAAACACCTTTCACTTTGATAAATATTTAGCATGAGATATGTGCAGAAAGACAAGTAGGTCTTTATGTAAAGTCACTGTTAAAATTGTTTGATCTAAATGAAAATTTAAATGGCTTTACAATTCTTCATAAAATTACCCAATATCAAATTTCAAGAAAATCTATCCAGCAGTTCTCAAGTTATTTCATGCAACATACAGACAGATGGGTGGACTGTGAAAATGTTATAGGCAGTCTGCAGTATTGCAAATTTACCTAAAAAGGTGCAGGAATGAAAAATGAATTGCACCATATATGCATGGGTAATCAAGAGTATACTGTACTTCAGACAACAGACAATGCCCAACATAATTCTCAACATAACATAACACAACTCAATAACAGCCATATTATAGTGGGAAGAGAGAATTTCCTGACAGATGCTCCTGTAACAATTGGAACAGATCAGTTATTTCACATATTTAAAACTAGTGACATCAGTGAAGTAAACAACTAGCACATACCTGTGTCTGACTACATGCATTCCTAATAACTTTAAAAAATAAGCATGTTCTGTCCCCTTTTATACTTTTATGCTTACTAATACATCTCCATGTGTTTCCATAAAATCAGTCTTACCTTATTTTCCATTGCTTATACATCACTGTGCTGTTTCATTTCTACAGATGTGAAATACCTACTGGAGCATTCCACTATTAATTGTTAGGACATTATTTTTGAGCTCATTCATACAGCTAAACATGTGCTTATATCCAACCTGATTTACCACCAGAAGAACAACCATTTGCCAGTCAACATAATTACCATGATCTGGCATGTGTGAGTATGTTTAATTTTATCCATCATGTTAATGGCTATTAGTATAACATTTATATGTATTCTTTAGTTAACTGGAAATTAGTATTACTATATTTTTTTAATAGTTTCATTTAGACACAGATTAACTTAGTTCATGGTTGGTGTCATAACACATCTTTCTATTTTGGCTGTGTATTCCTATTGAGGGAGCATTCTCTTATGCCTCTAGCCTATGCTCAAATTAAGAAATAATTTTGTTTTAGTTAAAAAGTGTAATGTGGATGGACATCCCTGCATGTGGAATCACCTTCCTACAAGGCTACCTAGATAGTTGCAACTCCAGAGAGCTGAATTTACAATACTGTGTTTCAAATTTTGATATGAAAATCTATCATCTTGATTATCTCAAGTCACCCATACCTCAGAACAACCTCTTCACAAACAGCATACAACAGCAAGAACAGTTGTTTATTTCACAATTCTTCCACGAAGCACAGAAATGGTGCTGACAATGTAACACTGATCATTACAAAAAGAGTACAACTCAGGCTGAAGCCACTTACACAGAGGAATGAACAAATGATGCATAAAGCCCAGCAACCCATTGCCAGTCAACAAAGCACCATAAATTTGTAATGAATCTGGTTTAAGGACACATAATTTGCTCAGAAAATAACTATGGCTCTTGATATCCTTAATCTGCATTACAGACAAGTTTCCAGATATTATGTGGTATGTTTATTTATGAACCACTCCCATTCACAAACTCTCTGTCTGTCCATCCATCCTGCTCATGTTGCGATAAAAGAAAACACTGCTTCAAGAACTGGTGAATTCAATGATAAAATCTGATTTAATTCAACAACACTGACAACTAAATAACGAGTGCCATGTCCTTTTTGTTAGGCAATGCAACCTTCTTTCCTTGCCACAAGCTGTTGTGGATGGTGAAGGCATCAATGGTGACTGTCAGATGTTTTGTATGAACCTGTGAGAAGCATTTACCTCCAGAATTGTATCTGAAAATTATGAAAGTGAATTAATCATTCACACATACAAATCATAATAAAATCTGTACTGGGGTATATACATTCTCCAAATCTTACAAACCCTAACGTTCATGTATCATAGATAAATATCCACCGCTGTAAAGCATAACATAGTACATAAACAAGTGCTGTTTTTTCCTCGTACTTCAATAATATTCACTGTGATGAAAAATGTTTCAGATGAAATTTGTATGACTTCAAATATATGAGGGATCTTCAAAAAGTTTCTACACTTTTATATATTTTCAAAGAAAAAGGAAAGAGCAGGAGGGGTTGGGGTGTGGGGGTATAGTAAGGTGTCATGTGACTAGGCAGCAAGGCAGCCTGTTGACCTTGCAGTTAGTGCGAGAGTTACTATGAAGCAGTGAAAATGGCAGTAAAATTGCAACAGAGAGGAGCAATAATCTCTGATACATTATTTGTGGGCAGAAAGTGTACCAGGTGGACAGATCCATCAGCGCATGTGTGCTCAATATGGGGACAGTGCTCTCTCTCATGAAGTTGTGTATGAGTGGATTGAAATGTTTAAAAATGGCTGTATGACTGATGCAGAGCACTCAGGTCGTTCAACCACAGCCATAACTACACAGAATGGAGAAAAAGCTAGGGCACTGATTCCTCAAAATAGAAGAGTGATGGTCGATGAAACTGCAAAAAACTGAATATCAGCATTGGGTCTGTCTATTGTGTGGTGCACGATAACCTTCAGTTCCTTAAACTGTGTGTCAGGTTTAATGTCTAAAATTTAAACCCATTCCTTTTACAGAATTTTACATTTTTATGAGCACTACCTCATGGCCTTTTACATTCAATTTAAAAATGTCTTGTAGGTTACTTTCTATCTTTTTGGTATGCTGAAACTGACCAACATGCATTAGCCAAGAACACACACAAGAGATTTTATAATCATATGACATGATACCCTATTCTTTTACTGTTACCAAGAATAGAACACTTACTTGAAGAATCTGTCAAACATTCGATCACTGACTTGTTTTGGACCAGTTCCATAAAGTTTGCAAACTTCTTCTTGTTCAGGGCAATATGAATACAATGCCCTAAACTGACAGCCTGCATCTCGGAAAAGTATAAGAAAATGTTTGCTCTCGGATCGTGCTATCTCTTCCAGAACTCTTCGCTTTGCCTCCTTATTCACTTCACCTGGGAATACGCAGTATTCAACTGCATTCAACATGATGCCTCTATTTGATTTGGTTGTGGGTTGCTTGTATAGTCTTGGACCTGTGAAGAGAAAAAGAACACTGCAATGCTCTATGCTTCAAACAGAAGCTTATGTGACAGCTGAGAAATAACCAGACTGATGTTTCCATACAGCAATAGCCAACACTAGTGAGTTAGTATATGCTGTACCATGTGAATACATGATCCAGCAGTTCTGTTTCAAACAGGCATGGGGAATCAGTTTACTTCACAGTTGCAGTAATGTGCTTGCTTGTAAAAATGTAAATTTGCTCAGCTCCTTCAGCCAGGTTACTGGAAGAAACCCAACCTTTTGAAAAAGAAAAAGTAACTGATGACAGGACCTTGCCATGGAATATGATCCAGAAACAGAACACTACAATCCACAATGAAAAAGTCCAAAGCCACAGACTGCGACCAAGGAAAGTGTCAATGTCAAATTTATAGCAAACTGCTATTCTGATATCAAATGAAGTTTTCATTATAAACTGGTTCCTCCAAATTTTATAGTGAACTAAATAATTTACTTTACAGCCTGGGAACGTTTGAATCATTTATGGCAGTTCATTACTGGAAAAGATTGTACCTTCAGCAAAACAAGTTGATTTACCATCATGGCAACGTGCCTTTCCATACAACTCTTTCAGTAGAACATTTCCCTCGAACAAATAATAGCTTCCATTGTACTCACAAGATTTAAGCCCATGTAATATTTTTATGTTCCTGAAACTAAAAATCTCCTTCAAATGTTCTCATTTTGAATCACTCCAATGTACATGCATACTGAATGCAATTGCAAAATAGGAAATATTACAACCTGTTTATAGGCTATATACATAAAATATGGACATCTCTACCCATATAATTCATGACTTTAAAAACTATGTGTAAAGGAAAACAAGAATGACATGTTATAAAGAATCATTTCAACACAGGCTGATATGAATCACCGTATTTGCATGTGTTTATGCTGCACCCAGGTTTTTATAACAGGAATCTGCAGTAAATAATATCTCATATACAGGGACCACATTAGATTTTATCCATATGAAAATAAAATAGTTGAATCAGCATTTGCAGCATTTGTGGTAGCTTCTCAGTGATGCTGCAATTTTCAGACTTATGGGAATCACTGATGTCAGCTAATCTCACGTAATGAAAATAGGCCATAATACTGGTAATACATCAGTGATATCATGCAAGTGTAATACCTTGTCACATTAGTAGTCTTAACAAATAACCCATGTCAGTAATTACACATCACTTGAAAAACGATTTATGTGGTGAGAAAAAGAAAATCATTTGACTGCCAACAGAGAGCAAGGCTTCATATAACACTATTATCCTGCAACTAAAATCTGATCACAGCTTTATGGGTAGCAGGTACAGAGACACATGCTGCCACAAAAAAGAGTCTACTACAACAAAAAAGTATCAACTTTAAGTACCATTCACTACAAAAAAGTAAAGGCTGACTTTGTGCGATGATACACAGGTGGTAAAAGAAAAGTAAAGTTATCCCTGTAACAGGCCTTGGAGGCCCATAGGGTTGTGAGATGTTGAAGTTCTCACATTTGCTAGACAATCGGCTCACAAATGGCGGTAAAGTTGTCAGCCCTATGCACTGGCTGCCCTTCACCCCCAAGAACATTCCAAGAATATTCCTGGTAATCATTTCTGTTAGAGGCTGAGTTGACCCCAGGGCCATAGTGCGGCTGGATAGATTAGGTAAACTGAAAAAATCCAATGACCTCATCGGGATTCGATCCTGTGACCTTCCGGCTTGTAGCATAGTGCCTCAACCAATTAAGCTACAGGTGGTAGACAAAATAATGGAAACACTAAGATATTAAGGAATAGAACTTGTGTTGGCTACACTGAAAGAATTTCAGTTGACAACACTGCATGTTCTTCTGTTTGCTTGCACTCTGTAGTGATCGTGTCAGTGCATTAGTGATTGTGTCCAGTGACAAGTCCATGTGAAAGTATGGGAAAATGGGAGACTTGTCTGAGTTAGAAAGAGGTGAGATTGTCGGTGTGTTTTTCACTGGAGCATCTGTGAAAAAACTCCCACATTATTTGGTGTATTGAGAGTGACAGTTTCTAAGGTTATATTGACATATACAAATCATGGGAAGACAACATTAGGAAAGAGGAATAGAGGGTGAAAATCAACACTGACAGAAAGAGAAGGATTGCTTCAAAAAATCTCACAACTACTGCAGCACAGGTGACAGCAGAACCAAATATTCAGCTTGAAGACCCTATTTCCACAAAAACTGTCTGATGTGAGTTTCACAAATTCAGCACCCACAGTAGGGCTGCAATTGCTAAACCTCTCCCCGCAATGAGAGTAAAACCACAGAAAGATACTGCAAATTGCCACCGTTTGTTTCGTGATCAATAACCAGAATCAGGAATTAGCAAAAACAGCTGCATGATTACTTTCATCCTATTATTTTTTAAATTTTATGAAGTTTTATGTAAGTGTTGTGGATTAAAATTTCAATTCTTCTATCCTTCTTCCACCCAATATGAGTAATTCTATTGATGGAAACATTAGTTCTCTTAATTATACACAACAGCATGCAAACAATAAAGACAATATGTGCTAGTCATTCATATAGCACAAATAAATTTATGAATACAAAACTGAAGTTACTGAATTGTAATGCATACATTTATTTTAAAATAATGTGACTAGAACAAAATATAATTCCTAAATGCATTTTACTATTTACTAGTACGGATCCATGTTAGTCAAACAATTCAATAATGACAATCCACATTCATGTAATCCACCTTAAGATGATCACATTGGTCGAAACATGAACTGGTACGCATAATAAAAACAAATATTCACACATTAATATTAGTTTTATTTATCCACAGATAGTTGTGTTGACTGCCACATTAGTACTCTTAATGATACACAACAGGATGCAAACAACAAAGATAATAAAGATTCAGAAAAATACCAATGCCTCTGCACTATCATAATATTCTTGCAACAACAAACTATTGACAAAATAAGAACATAAGGGGATGAAGATTGCATGAAAGGGATACCGAGATAAGCAGAGGCATTTTCTGAAGCACCTTTAGAAATTTGTGTCTTGTTTTGACACTCTATAAAACAACAAATTAAGAAGGGATGAAAGAAAGAAGAATTAACATTTCGAGACTTTCATAATCCCCCAGGGGTGAGGTAACCAAACAAAATAAACCCTCAGAAGTGGATGTTTCAAATACAGATCTCTGGGCCTGAGGAAGTATTTTAGATGTGCGAAGTCAATAACAATTATATTTTTGGAAATTTAAATAACTTTTAATATCATAACGAGACAATCCATTTCCAATCAGTCAGCTGAAAATACATTTAACAGGACAGTGCATTTGTTCCCTTTTGTCTGCTAAAGATTAACATTCAATTTCATACAATCCAAGACAGACCCAACTTGAAACACTGGCTTGATATAATGCCCCTTATAAAATTAAGTTTATTTGTAGTTTTGCACTTTTTATATAATTTTGTGTGTATACCCACATGATAGTGGTTACTTGTTAACTGAAATATGCAGCAGTGACTTAAAAAAGGAAGACAGAAATATGACTAAACCTGAATAATATCAATATGGAAAAAGACTTCAAACTGTGCCAAGCACGGAACACAGGCAAGAAACTTGTACGGCTTTCTGATACAGGTTTAACAGAACCAAAAAGAATAGGCCTGCTGGTAGACTACCGCTCTCCAGCTTAAAGAACATAAAGGAGAGGGTACTGTTCAGACTCAGCATTAAGCCTGTGTAACAAGTTACATCAATGTCCCAGAATTGTAAAGTTAAGCAATGACGAGTGGAGACTAGTCAGTGGACGTGGAATCATTCCCTACGTCAATCAACAGGGAACCAGATCTAAAGACAGTGTGAGGGTGATGTCACTAGTCACTGGAGAATATTCTGGTGCTGCTTTCTGTATGTTAGAAATATTCAGCACTCATTTCTTCCTGCAGTAAGTACGCACCAAAGATGGAGGTGGAAAAGATTATGAATAAAGACTACAGAAGAAAAGGAAATGATGATGACACAGAGAAGAATAAACAAAAAGTAAATATCCTGTTAGTTCTGCCTTGCAGAAAGGTACATCTTAAATATCTGACTTCACTGATGTACTGCATCATGCCAAAAGGTGTGCAAATAAGTAGCAACAAAAATTCATGTACTATTCCAGTCATTCTACTAACCTGTGTACTCCATCATGGAACTAGGTGTTGAACTGATGTCACTGGAGCCATCATCAAAAACCCTACGTTTTGTCATCAGTCCAGGAGGTAATGAGCCAGGACCTGACACAAATAAAGTACAAATTCTTAACCAACAGAGACTGATATAAAGAATTATGAACAGAGAAGTCTCACAGTCATTTGTTCCTCTTAATAATGCTTTGTCATCAGTGAGGGATGAAATAAGTGGGTAATTTAGGACATTACATAGAGGATAAGAAATGCATACAGAATATTGGCAGGGAAATCTATGGGGAAAGTGACCTCTATGAATGAGATGATGATCATGATAATGACGACAACAGCAGCATTAGGATAATATGCTAGAGCTTAGGAAAACAGGTTGTGAAGTTGGATGAACTGGATCAGGATTGTATCCACTGGCAAGCACTGTTTGAAATGGTGTTGAACCATTAGGTTCTATTACCAACTAAGTTACTTAGTGCTCTCAGCCACATCAAATGAGATACTGCAGGATTACAATAAGTTCAGAAGGACACAGAACAAACTGGTCATGGTACATTCTATGGTGCTGTATCAGCATTTCCCTGGAGGTACAGAGTGAAATCGTGAGAAACCTAAGTCAGAACAACCTACCCCCTGGATGCGATATGAAATTGGTACAACCTACATTCATTAGTAGGGTGACCTATAAGGGAGGATGAGATGAACAAGATGTCTAGCACGCATGGAGATCAGACATGCACACAAAATTTTACTTAGAAAATTTGAAAGGGAAAAGCCCTCTTAGGAGATCGTGATTCAGATGGGAGGATAATGTTAAAATATATTTTAAATAAATAGGGTGTGAGGGAGGGTCTGAATTCAAATGGATTTGAATGAAAATCCAGGTTTCATGCCAGGCACGGAATTTCTCTGCCGAATGAGTTACTACTGTCTTCTCAAAATGGATTATGTTTCAAGTCAGTTGCCTTCCAAATACCAACCATTAAACCATGATTCTGGACCTAGTCACTCGTTTCCTTTGTCAATGAATTAATTAGGCAATATAAAGCATATGGAGTGACATTATGCTGATGTATAAAGAATTATTTAACATTCTCCTAACCTCCACACCATACAAACACAAACATACACACACAAATACAGCATTTCAGTTAAGAAAGCATGAAAACTGAAGCCAGCATATGGAAGTAAAAATCTATAAATTATCATAAAAGCATCAAGGAATTTATTAACTCTCAGACATACAGCACTAAGAGACAGGAAAGACATGCAGCGTGAATGCTAGGGTTATGTATGACAATTTACATCGGAGTGTATCCGAGGTAATTAGATTTGCAAGACGGTCAATGTGAATATGACCGTAGAACCATGATGTTTGCTAATCTGAAATGTCATTACATTTTTGTTTTCAGGATTGAGAAAGTATAACCATGTGTTAACAATATCTGTATCATGAAAACTCAGCCAGATCACTCAAAATTGTATGTTTGCTACATTTCTGATTATTTATGTTCATATTATCCAGTTTAAGGCTTATCCATGCCCATTCTTTCAGGTGTGTCTGCAACCCTGCAGTCTGTGTCCATTTGTACACATGGATCTCAAGAACCAGTGCTTATATTTTCATAAAAATTTACACTTGAGAATTTTACAGAAAACTGTCATGCAATTTCAACTTTTGATTAAAACCACTAGTCTATGTGAAGAAATACATGCAACTCTGTGTGTGTGTCTTCAGTATAACTTCCTAATTATGAATACAATTTACATAAAAATGAAACACACTTTATGTTCAGTACAGTCTGCCAACAAATCTTATGGTTCTTGAGATAATTAGATACATCAAAGGCTATGAGTACATTTCCAAATTTCCATACATAACAATCACCATGGTCTCCCAACTGCACACAATTATCAACATTTTCTTCATATTCATGTATCTAGCCTCCTTCATCAACATGGACAACCATAAGTATACTGTAGTGGAACTGTTGAGACAAAATGCAACTCAACATTCTGTTGCGGGAATAACTTACAGATCCTGTTTTGACTGTATTAACTGACGTGGCAAACATAATAAGAATTATAAAGTAATAGTTGTACAATATAGTGACCAATTTTTGTTCTCAACTTCCAATAATGCACATTCTACTACATTAATTTCTCTACTGAAACACAAGTTTTCCACCATCACCATATTTGTAACTGTTAACATACAAAAAATATTTCTTATAAAACTCATTTTTTCAGTTACATTTATGTGATCCATTTCACTACTACATCTCAACTATGTTAATTTATCTGATAAAACAAAAGCTTCCCATCGGTGCCATGTTTGCAACTGCTAACCATGTAACGAACACATCACACAGAACCATAAGGTATGTAAAATTTCACACAACTAGCTCTAATGGTTCATTAATTATTGCTATCAGGCAGATAGCTATAAAAACTTAGGTTACTACATTGGTTCAAACGTTTTGGAGAGATACAATATGGTCACGATGTTACCAAGAACATGTTTCCTCATAAAATCATGAAACTTGGCTACAAAATAGTTATTTTACATCATATCACATTAAGACAACTTGAGAAGCCATTATGTGAAAGGGATATTGTCCAATACATCATATGATGTACTGATGGATCTAGATGTTTTGTAAATCTCCAAAAGATGCCATTAAGAGACAGGAACAGGGTGCAGATGCACACTTTAAGAGTATGAAGGTCAGGAATCACAAATTGCATAGTGTGTTTTCAAACATTTAAGCTTGGAAAAAAATAAAAGAATTAACATATCATACATCATGAAAACTTACCTGAGGGAGATGGAAGATGCCGCATACTGCTCATACCTGGAGATGGAGCTCGTCTAGGTGGGGTGGCTCTACCCAGACCAGAATCGGTGTCTGTATATCGGTATACTATACTGTCCTGGTCTGTGCTAGAACCTGTATTTTACAAACAAACCCATATAAACAATTATATTTTCATTTCACAACCCTAATGAAGGCCATCAAAACTTGTTAAGAAATTGTAAAAATGAAGAAATATCAAACATAAAAAATCACTATATTAATAACCCATTCACAAAGGGTGTGAAATGTCTGTCCATTTTAAATGTGTTAATTTGCTTCCTTTCAGCCGCCATACATACCGGAAAACAATTTACATATACTGGCAAACCTGTCAAAAGTCTCACATCTGCCAGTGCAGTAAGTGTTTTGACCTTGAGGATAAAACTAAGCATCACAGTACTAACAATAATGTTTTCAGAGAACAATTGATGCCCATATGGCACTGCCAGGTAAAGTCAAAATGATTTACTGGACAACAGATGCAGGGTGCATTTACTTTGAAATCTCTGAACTAATTTTACATAGATATTATGAATACTCCTAGAGACTGAGCCAACTGATTAATATCTCCCAAAAAACTTAATTTATGTTTTCATATGCGTCTATTTTAAGTGCATTAATCATCATCATCATCATCTATTTTTAAATCTCTTGCTGCTACAGAACTGGTGGCCAAACTTAAAACTTTATGATAATGAGATTTATATTGTCAACAGTGTGACATTAAGGCTGCTGGGGCGTGCTAAACCTGCATATGCACTGACACAACTGTGTGACAGACAATAATGGTGAATACGGACGGTAACATAAGAGAACAAACTGTTTTCCTATATCCTGCAAGATCAGATTTAACTGTCTGTTTCTATACTCTTGGGTGTAATTTTGGGGTCTCAGTCACTTTTGTCCCAGTTGCTTGTGTTCCAGCGTCTTCTTTGATATTCTACTTGTCTTTAGTCTTTGTATGTACAGTAGCTGCTGAGCAAATATTGGCTTCTCAAGGACTCAACCTCCATGTATTTAGCTAGTCAGTCAATCGGTTAGTTAGTTAGCAGGTTAGTTCGTTAGTTGGTTAGTTAGTTTGCATGTTTGCTTGTTGTTTCGCGATCTCATTTACAGCACTAAACTAAAATGGTGAAGTACACACTTAAACAGTGGTTCTTTACAAAGTAGATAACTTTCTGTCCAGTATGACATACAGGTTTACAACACAATCAAATCAAATTAGTGGTTCTTTACTTTACAATACTAATGTAAAGAATTTATCATAACAATTGCATAAAAGAATGTTTCACAGTAAGTATTCTGGTGTTTAAGTTCCAGCTTCATTGATGATTTTCAAATTGGTGAAAGAAGTGATCAACCGGCTCCTTCTTAGACAAGAATTACACTAGACAAAATTACGGTGCTGATTGAAGAAAACCTTGATGAAATTAACACTTGTGTTGAAAATCCCTGACACATTTAGTTCAAACGGCATAGGTTTCAACCACAGCAGTATGGAGACTAAACATCACATTTACTGCCATATAAAATCAACAGGTTCAAGCAACTGAAAATGAAGATGGAAGAAGAACGCAGTTTTGTAACTGGATTTTGCAGGCAGTACATGATGGGTTCCTTGACCCAAAACTTACACCGTTTACTAAAGAAAGTTGGTTCCATCCAAGTGGGTATATCAATTCTCAGAACAACAGGTATTGGAGCAGTATTAATCTGAGACAGACTTCTGAAGTACCTCTTCATGATCAGAAGATTGGTGTGTAGTCTGCCATTACTGCTACATGAATGGTATCTTAAACATTAATTCTGAGTAGTATGGCAATGATATTCTTTGCCTATATTTTAGCATTATGGAAGAAGGAAAGACATGATCATTTTATGCAAACCGTGTTACAGTACACACTGCTAATTATTCCATCATGTTTTAAATTAGATATTTGAAGACAGGCTGATAATTCACAGCCTGCATGGGCTCCACCCATAAATTCCCTTGACGTTTAACTGTGGGGAAACCTAAAAAACAACGTTTATTCAAATAAGCCTTACACACTGGAAGAAATTAAGCATAGTGTCTTTGTAACAATTGCATCTCCTGAGGTCACCGAACTCAAAACCAGTGTCACACAATCTTTTCAAGTGCCCAGAAGTTTGTTTAAAAGATGAAAGGAGACATTCTAACCATCTACTGTGATATATTTTACTTGCATGTCCATATTTATTATGCACAGCATATTAGCCACCAATCTAGAATTTTTCTCTCATGAAGCGACATCTAAGGCTCCAGCTAATAAATTGACAGTAAGAGTGTCAGGCAATTTGGTCCTTCAAGAAAGACTCTGCATTACGCTCCAACCTATGTTTATTCAGTCTACAAGAACAGGCATGGAAATCACAAAATACTGGACGAACACATTTCTTCAATTAAGAATAAACTTAATTACATTAATTGATATAAAAATCTCCAATAAAAGTCCAAAATACTAATGGAATGACAAGGAAAGAGCACAATAACAGAATCCTACCTCTAAAGGCTTACAATGGTAAAAAGTTTAGTATGAAAAGTGTAAAAGATACTACAGCATACAGTTATATAACTCAACTTATATTTGAAAGAAAACATAACAAAAACAAAATATGACTTTGACTTCAAGCACTGATAATGATGTTTGCTTAACACATATTCTAACTAACTCACAATCATGGGTTTTGGATTTTGAACTGTATCAGACATTATAAAACTAAGCCTATTTGGGCGCTGTTGGCACAATGCACCAATGGGCAAGAAGTATGAAAATAACTTTAAAACTAAATAAAATGATACACCTTGGCATTTACTTCACCCAGCATATTTGCTAGATGTGGCTTTCCAAGACAAGTCAGCACCTAAGGAAGGTACTGCATAAGAAGACCATGTATTACCCAGCACAGGCAATTTAAATCCTGACCTTGGTAGCAGTGCTGTGTTTTGTTTGGTAAAAGGGTAAAACAGAATGAGATAATTTTAACATATACTCAGGTTACAGTGACAAATAAAGCAGTAAAACACAATTTGTTACTACACTAAACAAAGCAGTGATTCCAACTACAAAATAATAAATGTGTTTCTTGCTTTGTTTATCAGCATGCTCAGTATTGCAGGCACATCCACTCTATCAGAAGCGTCACTTAAACTGCAATCACTGAAGATGCTGACTTCATCTGCTGTTTCTTTGTCTCTCTCAACTACTGTCAGAGTTCCTTTGTCACAAAATCTCATTTCTGCTATCAATACAAACCATGAGGAGGTGGACCGAGGAAACAGCATAGGGACCGAAACCTGGCTGCAGGACACCGCCAGAAACCGAAGGAGACGACACAGGAAAAGTGTGGATCCTGGAAGAGATTGGCTGTCACCCGCAAAGCGACAGCCCACTGTGTGAAAGTGACATGGCAACGGAAAACTTCGTCTGGAGAAACCGGACCAGGGACATCATACTAGGAACCTCGAAAGGCTGGACTCTCGTGAGGATACAACGGGTGCAACAGCAATGTAACAGAGGAATAAGGATCGAGACATACAGGAAGAAAACTGGACTGGAGATCGCGAAGCAAATTACCAGATCTCCTGCCAGATTACAAAACACCAAAAACTGGACACTGCGGAGGGGCTGACCTCCTTGAAAACAGAAAAAAGGGAAAACAGAGCAGGTGCCGGTAATGTAGAAGCACCAGCCTCCCCAGTTAGAGTGAGTGAGTGAGTGAGTGAGAGAGAGAGAGCGCAAGCTAGAAAGATACAGAAAACCTCTGGATGATGATGATGATGATGATGATGATGAGAACCTGTGGAAGTCTACCACGGAGCTGCTCAGGATGAGCACCTCTGAAGGAGGGGGCAGATGCATCGATCGGAAAATGAACACAAACAAACAGCACATCTTGCAGGAAGACGTTGCAAGCAAGAACCCAAGGAAAAGAAAGAACGATGACACACCATTAGGCTGTTTGGAATGAATAGCCTTAAGAAGGGAGTAATGTGGAGTGCTGCCTAAAAGCCAAAATATCTGAGTAGGTGTCCACTGCTAGACAACGGCTCACTAATTATGTTTCCCATACAACAAGGAACAGTTAATACATTGTTGCCTACACGGCAACTGTAAACGCGACAATGCATACAATGACAGCTGTTACAATAGGAATAAAAGCAAGAGCTACTGCAGTTCCTGCTGCAACAAATACCCTTCTTCTAGTCCGTCCAACGGTAGAAGATAAGAGACCAAATGGAAGACAGGACAGATCAAACCTGTGTGGAGGCAGGGTCGAATAAATCCACTGTGACCCTGTGAGTCATAGAAGGTGACAAAAAGGGAAGTCTCAAATCTCAGACAATAAAATATGGTGGCAAGTCCCAAGGGACTCATACCAGAGAAAGACTGAGCTGGCAAGGACCAGCATCATATACAAAAGACAGACCCATTCTTTCATCAGAGAGGGCGCCACACAGAAACAAGACCGTAAATGTGAAACAGTAATAAATATCTGGTCATGAGACCCTGGCAGGGCTCGACACCAAGACTTACCGACTGAGAGTCAGTCGCAATGTGACTTTGACTTCGAGGACAGATCAGATGAGTGGTGAACAGAGCAGAGCTGAGAAACCAGCTCAGGCAAGTACTAGAAGACAAAATGTGTGAGATAACGGGCTAGCCAAGTTGCATTGTCTGCAAGACGCTATTTTAGAGTGATTGTAGTTGTAACTGTAAACGACTTGTCCAATAAAAGCTTTGTCTAATCCAGAATCCACAATTGCTTGTCATGGATCCTCAGATACATTACAGTATTTAATCTGTTTGTTTCATCTTCCATCAAGCCATCTCTCTCTTCCAATAATGTTCAGCTCTTTTTCTGACATGGCTAATGGCTCCTGTCCAGTCATTTTTAGTAAATCTGCTGAAAGCATCAGATGCTATCTTCTTTGGTTCAGACAGCAGTAGAGTGGACATGTTTCTTTCACAAGCTATATCAGTTATATCAGGTTAAAATCCAGATGGAGGTAGATTTATGGGAGTCAGACATTTCAGACTTAGAATCATAAATAAGAAATTCATCAGGAATGA